TTGAATGTTAGGTAATGCTTGGTAAACTTTTGAAAATAAACGAGAATGACGGTGGCCTAATATGTGGTCTGTGTGGTTCAAGATCATTCGAGTGTATCATAGGCTGGTAACATGCTAATTTTCTGAAGTGAACTCACTTCATAAAATGTGTCCTCGCTCGGAAGTATCCAAGGCTGGTAACAACCACATGAATGTATATATAGTGGGAATTTCGAAAAAGAATGTTACGTACTAAAACATGGCTAGCTGGTGACATCTTTCAAACATCTGCCTTGAATAGAAAAATGGGACGCATTAGGAAAAGTAGAACAGATTCCAGCAATATTAAATATACATAACATATAAACCATGTTTTATTTCTAAACGTATAACTGTTAACATTGCAGTCACACAGAAACAGCTGCCAAAAGTGAAATAATATGCCATATTTATGTAATTTTACAGCTTAGTAGCGCGCAAATTAGCGTCTGCTTGCATATGTTATGAGCTTACTCGGTTTACACGCCCTCACATGGTAAATCATTAGAGAAGGTGCCCAACTTCCAATCGCCGATTTCCACAACTCGGTCATAATTTTGTTACCTAAAAAATCTTCTATCGTGAATACATTTCGTTGATATTAATAATTCGAGCGAATTTAGGACATTGCCTGTTACTATGGAATGCCTATATAAAACAGCAGAATGCTACAGAGCTTGGTTGTACACATTATCCTCACATGATGTCGTCACTGCAATGAATACCCAGGGAGTGAGATTTGAATCACCTGAAGTAAATGTAAAAAAATTGAAACGACGCGTCGAAGCGTGGAATTACAACGTTCATATATGCCACATGTCTCTGAAGTTATGAGTGGAATGAAATCAAGATTATTAGCATTGATAGAATTCCATAAAGATTACATCATATTTAGTTGCGCGTGTATCTGTTGTTCAGTTCAATACAGCAGCAAACTGCGCATGCGTTTGATGCGAAAGTTTGACTGTCTCGAAATGTGCTGACAAGTCTTTCATCGGTCAAGAGATTTCAACTTCGTGCCATAATTATTTTTTAAATAAAAATTGTGTGTGTCCTATAAAGGATATAAAAATAATAGAATTGCTGCATATGGAAGTATACTTTCAGTACAAAATAAATGTTGGCAAATGTTGATGCGTTGGCAATGGTGAATGAAGTTGATAAGTATATCTCATACAAGACAGTTACCAGGTGACCTCTGCATTCACAAGAAAATATTGAAGTAGCGCAATCCAGAAATATGTAAATACTGAAATGATGCTATATCAGAAAAATATTCAAAGCTGACAAACATGGAGGATTAAATAAAAAAACATTTTCTTAGGCGCCACAGTTGAATATATTATTCAGATCGTGTGCCCAAATGTCTTTAATGAAACACTAGCTGAATGTCTATCTGCAATGGTGATGCAGACATGACATTTGTGCATTGTAATGAGCTCGCATTACCATATATGACCAATAAATATGTTGATAAGATGTAGTGTAGTATTGGTGTAGTAAAAGTACTGGTTTAATGCCACTTACTTAATAGATATATGACAGATATATTATATATTACATATATCCAGATATATTTAAACATTTATTGAGGTCACATGTCCATATATGATCAATAAAAATATTTATCAGGTCCAGTGTGCAATGTCTTCATTAAAGTACTAATTGAATGTTCCTATCTGCAATAGTGCTGCTGTTACGAGCCCATACGGAGGTGTGGAAGGACAGACAGACGAGCGGTCGCTTGTAACCACTCTATCCCCTGCTAGAATTATGTGCCAATGCACCTAGACTACCCTGACTACAAAAGAAACTCCTTATAAATATATAATCTATACAAATGATATAAATGTTGCTGTTTGATTGGTCCAGACTTAAGAACAAATATCTATGTGCATATGCATTTCAGACATGTATGAACCAATCACGTCCACACATGCAGCTTGTCGCACAATATCAGCCAAATAAGGAAACCGAAGAATAATCTGTTTACAGCTGGTGAATTATATTATATATTACAAACACAAGTCGTTTACAAAATGTAATGGCCAAGAACTAGGTGTAAAATTGCTCCCTTATACAATAAAATAAATGTCTCATATAAACGCATGTAAATGCTAAAAATACAAGCCATGCATGGCACAGTTCCCGTTAGTTATTAAACTTAAGACATATAGTTATGTTTACAGTAACATAGTTGGAATATACGCATGTCAGAGATATGGATCCAGAAGCTGATGCTTGATTATGATGATATTTTTTTAACATTAGAATGATTGACATCTTGTATCTGATTGTCAAACGAGTACTTCTCCATATTGAGAGAAATTTTGCTCTAACTGCATTCATTAAAACAAAATGGCCGCCAGCCGCCATTTTCAATTCGATCTGAAAAATAAAATGACGTACATTAGGGACTCGTATAGTCTAAAGAATGTATCAAGCTTGAACAAAATCCATCTAAAAACTCCAAGATCCGGTTCAGGAATGCCGGAAACCGGATTGACAAAAATTGTCGCCAATTGGCCATTTTGAATCAGATAGTCAAACCAATATATCTGTATATATATGGCGTGATGTATAATGATTATAATAAAATTTGAAGATAATCAGTTAAAGCATGGCAGAGATATGGCACTAGAACTGCATTCATTTAAACAAATGGACGCCAGTCGGCCATTTTAAATTCGATCTGAAAAATAACGTGCATCAAGGTCCCATAATGTCCAATGTATGTACAGAGTTTCAATAAAATCCATTCATAAATGCTAGCACAAAAATGGCCACCATTCGGCCATCTTTAATCAGATAGTTAAAAAAATTGATGTGCATATGTATAATATTATGTATGATGTGTGTTTGGATGTAATTAGTCCATGCATGTCCATGATATACGCACGCACGCATGCATGCACATAAGTCCCCGTTTTCGGACTAAAAATCTATCTGGTACCATACCGAAAACTGCTAAATTTTCAGGCAAAACTTTTGTTGTATTCAGCAATATAACACATTGAAATACGTAGACTTCCAGTTATCACCTATAAAATTGCAACGAATAAATATAACTACGGACATCCAAATCAGTATTTTTAACTAAATTAACAAACGCCGGAATATTCACTCTTCACAATCACAACAATTTGATAAAACAAAAATACAATTAATCACAATAATTAAATAGTTGACATTCATTTATTTCGTGATCAAATATAACAGATGCACAGATAAATTCTGCTGTGAAAATTCATCAAATACAACGTCGCGAAATTTGATTGTAATAACAATAAATCTTGATTATTATATTAATATTCACTATCCCCGCTGAGAGGTGTCGTGAGTTGTTAACAGATTACCGAAGTAGGGATGCTTTATAATATTTGGGAATTTTCTGTGTATAATATACATGATTAATATGGGAATATTGTATGCACCAGCATTGCTGTACTTGTTTTAATACCTACAAAACAAAATCTATGCCACAAAATATATCATCATACCGTGTCGGGTATGGAAGCAGCTAAGCATTATGTACACCGTATTAAAACTTAATATTCTAGTTTATCAAGAATTTTACATTATCTATGATTGAGTAAAGAGTAGAGCCGTGGTTATCACACAATGTGGTCACTACGAGACTTTTAGCTACATCTTGTAACGTTGTACTTGATAGTTGTGGTAGAGCATAGATGTTTGTCAATTGGAACTGATTATCTCGTACGAAGTCACAATTCAAGTATTGACCATAACAGTCGCGGTAAGCGGCGATCATGGTGAGTTCGATTCCTTTACAAGTGTTCTCGTCTTTCTGGTATTCTGTCAATATAGCGTTCATCACACAAGTCTGAACACTCTGCATGGATATGCCGCCCTGTAATATTAGAATAAATAGTGAGGGCTATTGCATCGCATACTCAAAGAAATGACGCTTTCCAACGTGGTATTACCACTGACTGTACATATGTGAGTAGATGGCCATTTTCTGAATATGAGTTGTAATCATGTAATATGGCCTAAGACAATATATATGCAGATTTTTCTTACATGGTGTAATCCAAATTAGACATGTGTAATGACATTATTTTTATTTTCATTTACGTTTTTGATGTTAAGTTTGATGTAATGGAAACTGCAAAGTACATATAATGATATATATGCTGAACAAACACTTCGTATACACTTATTTGATAGTCAGTCGATATCACTTACATTCAGTGTTAATTAGAAATCTGACAGAGTTACACATTGATATTCTAGGGTAGAAGGACATTGAACATAGAATAGTTAATTCGGCCAGAGGATAAGCAAACTCGGGCGAGTGTCGGACAAAATATAATTCTATGTTTGATAGGTGAGGCAGTTACGATAACACGTACATTAACATATCATCAATTGAGTACAAAATGTAACATACTTACAGTAGCTTTCAGGTAGTTTTTGTATTTGTTTTCTTGTTCACAATAAATCTTTCCAAAGGAGAGAGCAAATCCCGATGGACCACACGGAAACCGTTTTTCAAAGCAATCGAAGAAGGCACAATTACCACCGGTGGCTAAATCCTCACAGGAATCGCCACTACCTGTCAAACAATGAATAAGGCAAAAACCATTATTTGGGTTTTATTCACGTTCGAAGAGGCTAATAACCTATTTTAATTTTCTCAAAATATTGTAAAAACGACAGAAAATGGCATGAAGAAAAAGTGGTTATGTATAAAAAAATAAATTAGGTACATGAATTAAATAATCGCATATATACTAAGCTATAATGGAAGACAACGGAAACTATCATATCGAATATACATAGCGATAGTTTTATTTGCATTTTAATCGAATGAACTTACTAGATTTAGAATTGATTGAAGAGGCTCCTTCCACCATTTTCATTTCAATTGCATCCACCATTGTTTGTAAAACGTCGTCATGGGTATGGAAACCACTGCGATGGAAATACAGAGTCAGTTCCTCTACCTCTTCCTGCATAAATTCCAAAAGCAGGCTCTCCGGATCCGATTCTACTGCAGCAATCAAATCATCTATGCTCGCTTTATAGTCGTCTAAGTTGTCGGAATCTTTCAGGCGATCAAAAAAGCTATTTTCCTCAGATGAGGCTGATCGGCGTTTATTTGACTGGTTGGGCTCTTTCGCACATGACTTGTAGTGCTTTTTCCCGTCCTTGTACATCTGTTTGCATTTTGTAGTACTATATGTCTGTTCCAACTGTTTATATTCAGCCAACATCTTCAAGGCAACACACTTAAATATTTCTTTACGGTCAGACAATATGTAGCGGATCTGAAAAAAAACAACATTAATATAATTGTTATCGTGTTGAACGAAGCCGTGAAGGTTCAAGCTACGATCAACCAATGCGATACACCTTCTCATAAGCTGTGCAGGTCGCTATAACATCCAGCCCGACAATATATCGTAATGACGAAAACGAATGCCCATCGTGGTTTTTACTTCAATCAATAATCTCCCGTGTATGGGCGCGGCGAAAGTCAAACGTGAGGTAAGTCTATCTGTACGTTGATCCACTTGTCTGTCTGCATAGATTACGTTTCACTTGCTTAATTGTAAGGAAACTTTTCTTATTTGTTTTCTTTAATTAAGTAATTTATATACTAATTACTAGTATGACTAGTATGTATGGTAACGTGCACACTGTTTGTGTAATATCTAACAATATCCATGCATAATAATTTGCTAATTAGCATACTAACATTCGCTTTCAGTTTGTTTATACTGCATAATAACATCTGTCTGACAATAGTTTTATCTGTTAATAGTTGCTAATTTACATATTTAAAACCTCTATTGCCATGATTTGTTTGTATCATACTTTTTTGCTCAAGTAGATTAAAACGTTGTGTATGCATACTGTTTGTTAAATCATTATGTGTATATGAATCAGCACTCACGGTTTGGAACTTGAATCCCGCATACTGAACCTCGCGGTATGCCCGTTTATATATTATATGATATATATATATATATATATATGTATGTGTGTACACAATAAGATGATTGTATTGGTGACACAAACATGAAATGTATATTTGCGACTACTGTGTGTTTTAAGTGTTGTAATAATTCAACTTGTTAAGGAAATATACCTACCGATTGGGCTAGTCCCTGGCATCTGCTGTAAAGCACGCCCCCGATGTCATATTTGGAACACGTACTATGTCGTTCGCTAAAACATTTGAAAAAATCGCAGTCCCCTTCCAGAGCTAATTGTATGCAGGTGCTTTCGATGCCTATTATATAGAAATATAAAAGAAAATTGTAGCTTATAGATTAACCGTTTCTTTTAAAATTAAGCTCGTGCGATGTTTGTCTTTGTTAATTTTTAAAAGTAATAACGCAGACAGTGAGACAATAAAACCGAATAATCGAATGCGTTGAATAAGACCCTCATCATTGTTAACAAGGTTTTGTCTGACAATCTACTATTTTTATTCTTGAGTTAGTGGAATCAGGACAGAAGAAATTATAGTTTAGTATTTTGGATGCTTTGACTGTCGGCGGGTCGGGATATTGATTTTTCTATCACACCATTTGTGTCAATTACATAATCAGTTTACCTGTGCGTATTACGGCCATTTCAGTCCCTCCGCCACATACTACACCGTCACTGCGACCTGTACAAGCAGTCAGACACCGTGACCTTGAAACTAGATTACTAGAAAGACAATTAAGGAATCGGTTAAAGTTTCTAGTGCGATTCCAAATTTAGCATGTGCTGCAATAAGGTTAACAATAAATGTATAGACTGCTTATAATTTTAAAAAAATCTAACCAAACAAAATATAATGACGGGAGAGATCCTAATTCTATTTATATATGATGTAAACCGTCTCACCTAAACTGTTGATCGTTTCCACAAGAACACGTGTCTCCTTTAGACAAGCCAGCATACTCGTACCCTTCTTTGGTGCACTTAGCCAAGCAATAGTGTGGGCAGATTGTGTTTGGTTCAGTCCACTTCTCCATGACAGAAAAAGCTGAACTATCCACACAACCAATATAACCTATAGTATGCGAATATATTTATATAACAGATATATTTATATATCAGTGTTTTGAAATGTATAATTAAAGCGCGGTAGTCGTCGCGCTGCGCATGTGCGAGATATATGGGTCTCATATAAACAAAGAAGGCGACTTTGACTGTTGCGCAGATCAACGAGTACGAACTGACACGTTTCCAAGCTTTAATTAGGTAATTTTCATGTGATTGGAAGGTATCGAAGAAGTCACCGGCGGTAATCAGTGCAAGTCGCGCCCAGGTCAAACCTCATACTTGTGATTTCCATTTGATGAGCGCATTGGATTGTGGGAAAATCAAT